CAAATTTCTTGGAACAGCCAGGCCCGTCCATTTGCCCCGCGACCCGTCTTCCCGACAATTAATGGAGTTACGATCGAATAAAAAAATCGCCCCGCGCGATGCTTCTCCTTCTTTTTCTTTTTTTTTTTTTTTCGTCCAACCATCTTTTTCTTTCTCCCTTCTCTCTTTGTTATTTGCATATTACACGACCCCATGTGCACAATTTTATCGCGCTTGTTAAGGGAAAGTGGGACGAATCCCACCAGCGCCAACTTTGTTCGCTCATTCGTATAAAGGCTGACAATATTTCTTCTTCTTCTTTTCTTTTTTTTTTTTTTTTTTTCTTTTAATTTTTTTTTGTAATTTTTTTCCCCCCTACACAATGATACTCTATTACAAGCGGAAAAAATGAATCAATTAGTCAGGGAACCGTTTCGAATAGGAAGGAAATACGAGAGACGAATTTTCGTTTCGTATATATATCATTCGATATTAGTTAGTTTCTCGTGTATTCTGTTTACGTGTATCACACGTAAAAGTGATTTTTCTTTTTCTTTTTTTTTTTTTTTTTTTTTTTTTTTGGCAACGTTATAACGAGAAATGTTGTTGTTGTGAAAAAGTAGTGATTTCGGAGATTAAATTTCTTCACGGATGAGAGAAGAATTCTTTTTCTTTTGTTATTATTATTAATCGTTTTTACGTAATAGAATCGTGCACTACGTGCGACCACCATTTAATTCTCGTTTCCGTCACTAGATAGTAGCACCTTTCTTTAAAAATTAAACGAATTTATATGTAATGAACTTGAGACGCAAGAAACGTGAAGAAACGCAAAAATATAATAACGAGACTCTTGAGCCCGTAAAAATGATTCGATGAATCTTCCTTCGTCTAGATCTATCTCCTACGTCGTTGTAACGATATTTTAATTGATTTATCCGAGAATAATAAAAATAGCCGTAAAGAGAACGTTACGAAGGGGCAAGTTATTTATAGTTGTATGCTTTTTATCGTGTATCGTATACCATGTTCGTTCCTCGAGTTACGAGCATGTTTCGCGAAACTTTACGCGAAACCCATTTCCAACGTTCTAATCCGTCGAATCGAGGAGGAGAGCGAGTTATCAGAGACAACGAAGACTTTTCCTCGCACTCTTCTCGAATAAAATGTTTTTTAATAGAATTTAATTTCACGAACGGGACAAATCGGTATAAGGAAAAAGTTTTTCTTCTGTCGTCGGATTAAACAACTTGTGTCTTTTTTTTTTTTTTTGCTTTAGAAAATATATCCCCGTCGTATTTGTCCGATCTCGGCTCGTTTGATCCTTCGTTTCTAAGTTTTTTTTTTTTTTAAAGCAGCTTTTCAACTTTGACTCGAGCATCGATAAAAAAGAAGAAGAAGAAGAAGAAAAGGAAAAAAAAAGAAATTGATCCAGGAAAATCCGTTATGTAACTCGATGTGGCGTGTCGAGGAAGACGATGAAGGCTTATAATTTTTTACGTCGGATGTAACACGGAAGAGAAAAAAATGGAAAGAAGACCTCTCTCCCTTGATCCCGATGTATGCGAGATAAAATGGAAATGCCTTTAAAAAAAGAAAACTCCCTCCCCTTAGGGGAAACTCGATAACAGGAGCCGTGATATTTAGCCGAGTGATTAATAACGCCTTGCCACTTTCCACCCATTTTTCTTCCTACGTGTTTCCTTGTTTAACCACGATGAGAAGGAAATTTTCTTGAGATGTATATTTCTTTTTTTTTCTCTCTTTTTCCAAAAAGAAAATTACAAAGGGGGAGGAATCCAATGAAACGGTTAAATTTTTTAGAAAGTTTCAGTGAGAAGAGTTGAGAGAGAACAGACATGTCTCGTGTTATGATAGTCATTAGATTAGAATTTAATTATAAATTATTTTTAGAAAATTGAGTTGATTAAGGAATAAAAGGAAATAATTAAATTGTGATAATGAAATTTAGAAAAGAAAACATCTTATTTCCGCTTACTTTTTCTATGATAAATTCCAATCATAAAACTCTTTATTGGATATTATAATACCTATTCAACGTTACGACAATTGTTAAAAATGGAAGACAAAGAAGGAAAATTTTCAGCCGGAAAATTGACCTTTCATCTCGAAATATCACGTACGATCCTCGTCCCTCGTTGCTTCTTCTTTTCTCTCTCTTTCTTCAGCTCATCACGGAATAAATCCTTTTCGATTCCAAAATTCCAAATTCCATTTATCGCACTTTTATCGTCCACATGTTTTTACTCTCAATGTTTTTTACGATCGTTTGTTCAATTTGTTGGCTGCGAAATGGATTATTATTCAAGAACATCAAGGACGATGATGGTCGATCGTTAAAAAAGGATCGAGTTGACCATAGGTTACGATAGATCGCGTGAATTTATTTCGACTTTACCGGCTTATATATATGAAGAATCCTTTAATTATTGAAATTGTACCGGAAATTACGTGTTCATCGACAATTCGCGTCTCGAGATTATCAATCGGCGTAAGTAAAACGAAATTATTATTAACCAATTCTACGATCTGTGCATGCTAATTGCTCGATCTGAATAAATGATAGAAATTGATCAAACCTAATTAACCGACACTACTGGGCGACAATGTCACGAATCCAGGTCGGAATCCTAAAATCGCATTTAATTAAATGTCCGTTTAATTACATACGTGAAAATACATGGTGGTTTAAAAGCGACGAATCTTTAGAAATTTATATGAAAAAGTATTTAAATTGAATTGTTATCGCGCACGAGACCACTGAAGAATTGGAAAATAAAAAACGAAAATTATTAATTGAAAAAAAAAACTTATTGAATTGATTCAGTGGTGAAACTAATAGTGGATTGAATTAATTTTAATTTAATACAGTTCGATTTAAATAATCGGTGAAAATGAAATGAGGTAATTAAAAATTATTTACCGTTTTAATTTCAATTTTTTCCCGCCGATTTATTCGTCGGTTTTTACGCGCAAAATTCCACGGATCAAATTTCCCATGGAATTCGTATATTTTTGCATTTCAACAAATTGGCTCGCGATATCGTAAAAAAAACGCGCAAAAATATTTTTAAAATGTTTTTTTTTTTTTCTGATCAAATTATTATATCTTCTTCGAATATACATTTCCTTCCAACCCATATAATAATCGTGCACGATGTTCCCAACAAACGGGCATTTTTCGAGCCGATAATACGCGTATAACAAGAACTTTTTCCAATTAAACAACTGCATCGATGATCACGATAACCTTCGTTAACTCGGTGTTACGTGTATCAATGAGAGAAAAAATTAAAACTGTTAATTAAATCTGTCGTATTCACGCTACGTAAACAATATTTATCGCGCAGTCGGAATGTTGACCATATCTTGTAATATACGCTGAGGATTCCAATATTTTCGTTCCTGAATTCTTCTATATCGCATTATATATACACATATGCAATAGTTGAAGTAAGTTTTGCATTTAATATTTTTCGTTTAATTAAAAACTATATTCAAATATTCAAATACTCAAATAATTTGTAGAAAATATACGTATCATATTGGTTAATATATGTTCTAAATTATATATAGAATATATGCAAATAATAGATTAAGCGTAGATTTATTTCTGAAATGTTATTATTAATTAATTATTATGCACATACTTATGATCATTTGCATTACATAACGATTTTTTTTCGTGATTTTCCGGGAAATTAGCATTATTTATATCCAATTTATGGGTTAAAATATTTTTTTTTTTTATTTAAATTTTTCGTCGCGTCCTAATGTTTTGTCATATCATATCTTATCATAATTATTCAGAATTAAATTCATTTTCGTGTATTTTAAATATCATCCAGATAAAATTGATGTAAAAAAGAAATACGTACATTTGCATAAAAATTAATTATTTATTATTACATATATATATATATATATATATTTTTTTAAATTTTACGACTTCAAAATAATTTTGTAAGAACGAAAATTAAAATTTTTAAATCAATAATATTTCAAGAATTCAGCAATAACGCGTATAGAACGTTAAATTGTCGAAAAGGTAAAGAGATGTCGTTAATTGTCCTTAATTTAGAATGCACAAGTAGTGGAAGAAGTCCGCGAAATTTGGCCGAATTCCAAGTAGTAGAAAATATAATTTCTGTTATGCACGTCCAATTACACGCCAGCGGAGCATAAAAACGCGTCACGTCGAATTTAACGAGATCACATGCCGCGAATTTGTTCCACTGGTATTCAGAATATTGGATTTCCCCGTATCGTGTTCACTTTCAAAAGAAAGCGTATTATGTTTCGTATTAACATTTTTTTTCGAATCGGCGATGACACTTGCTGATTGATGAAAATTCGATACACGCGAGGAAAAAACAATTGCGTTGACACTTTATTAAAACTTGCTGATCGATTAAAATATATATTTTAATGCAAAACATTAACTTGTCTTTTCTCAAACGCAACAATTATTTCCAAATTTTATACACTCTAAGATATCAATCTTTTTTTTTTTTTTTCAATTACCAATATTAGATATTTCATTTTTCCTCTTTTCTTCTTCGTTTTATTATTACATTAAAAAAAAGAAAAAAACCATCTGTATCGATCTCTAACAAATTTTTACATACAAGGCTTATTCTCTGAAAACATCGTTTCACATTTTTACACGAATTTTTCAACACAAATTTTTTTTTTTTTTTTTTCGTTTTTCGTGTAATGAATATTCAAAATAAAATTTATATTCACCGATATTTTTTCTAGAAAGGAAACTTGCATGGCGCTCGGAACGTACATCAATACAACTGGATGAATCAATCGTGAATAAATAAATTAAAACTGGCGAAACTCCCCCGCCCCGCCAAGCCTCGAAATCAATCTATCGAGGATGAAATATTTCGCAGATTTATATAAGTTACACATCGAAACTGGAGGATCCCGATTCGAACCCGAATCGATCGAAAATAATTATTAATATCGATTGATAAGGATTTTTGTTTCAGCTGGAGGCGTGCGGCCGACTCGTGTGCTGCGCGCAGAGGCTGTGCAGAAGCGGAAGCGCAACAGAGGAGGCCGAGCAACGAATCAATCGAGGGCGAAGGGGTGCACAGGCGGGCCCCGAGTTGGAGGGGCCCTCAGGCTCGGAGGATGGCATCCTTCCGATCCCGGTCAGCCCCAGCCCCGCGTCCACGTCCTCGCAGGAGGACGCATGCAAACCACCACCCCGCAATTGCTATCGTCTGGTTATGCTCGGTAGCGCGAGAGTTGGCAAAACGGCCATTGTAGCACGGTAATTTTAATTTTCTCTTTTTATATATATATATATATTTTTTTATTTTGAAAGAAGAGAGAAAGAGGGGAGAGGGGGAATTCTTAGGTTGTTGCAATGTATAAAAAATATAAATAATAAATATGAAAAAAATCTGTAAAAATTTGTGGATACAAATTGAATTATTATTTCGTTAATGAGATATTATTAAAAATCTTGCATTGTTATATAAAAAGTAAATAAACGTGTTACGTGCAAAAAGTATTGCGATTGGCAAATATACGTAAGAAATAAACAAAGGAATTATTAACGCGTTTCGAAACCGACTTTCGAAGTCGAGAATATATAAACATACCGAATATATAAACAAACGATCGAAAGTCGAATTTATTATTCGATAATCGGGGAACGAATACATATGATCGTCGACTTTAGTATGAAACGGGCGCGGCAGACGAGCACATCGAGAAGATTATTAAGAAGGAAAATTAAATCGATCAATTATATATGGATTCTCGTTTATTTTAACTGACCAATGGTGGCCGATAAAAACGTATCGTGACTTTTTGTATCGTTTATTTTATTATTAACATATATTGTTATAAAAAAAAGGAAATGTTACATATAACATGTTTTTCGACAAACAAGATGGATCAAACTTTGATTCAATATTGTTTTTAATAAAGATATAGGATTTAAAGGTTCTTTTTTATCAAGAATTCGATCGTTATCTGCAACAATCCGATATTAATTATTATTAAGAATTCGAGTATTCAAAATTTTCAAATATTTTTTATATATTGGAGATGGAAAAATTGGAGAAATAATTCTTGTAAATGTTTGAAAATATTTTTCTTTGGAAGAATCGATCTAAACGAGGAAATTTAAAAATTCGTGGTTTAATTCATCGGTTCGCTTAAAGGAATCGCTTTATGAAAACGAGCTTGAATTTTTACTAGGTTTATATCCTAGTGGATTATATTAAATTGTAGAAATAAATAAACGTTGCTGAAAACGTTTTTCTTGCCATTTCTCTTCTCATTTTTTTTTTTTTTTTTTGAATTACAGAAATTGGGTCGGATACATGTGACACATGCCCAGGAAATATAATTTTACGAAAAAATGTAAATATTTTCGGATTTTGAAACGCGACCAAGGTTGTTACTTTATATTTTTTAGTTTAAAATCCGGAGTGAATTATTATACTTAAAAAAAAATGGTCAAAAGGAATATATCATATTCCTTTGATCATAACATAAATTTATTATTAACTAGAAAATTACGAAATATATATTTAACATTCTGAAACAGATTTGCTTTATAGAAAATTTAATATTTTTATAAAAAAACAAAACAAAAACATTATTCTTTAAACGATAGTAATTGTTTCAATATTTTATAACTTATTTTATAAGAATTCATAAATTTGCGTTAAAATCTTTTATCCAGGCCAAAAGCAAGCAAGGTTCAAAGACTTTTTAAACAACGTTCAAAATGGTAACCGAGCGTTTATTTGAAATATTATTCGCAATTGATTCGACGTACAATCGAAAGAAATTCCTCGTTGTATCGCGATTCAAAGCGTTTCTGTCGATGATATTATTGTATTTTTCCCCACGATCTTGTATTTTTCATCGATGAAAAGCATACGTATACCGCTTTCGATTTAAAAAATATCATCTCGTTGAAATCTCGATGTGAGGAAATATAAATGGTTCAAATCGATTTCGTTAAATCTTATCTTATAAAAAAAAGGATTCGTCGTTTATACTTGTCAAACAAATTAACATTATCATTATCGTTCATCGTTCTTTTTGATTAATGTAACTCATTCATTTTATCTATCAACGAAAAATTTTATAAAAGGATTACGTAATTTGTTTCGCAGCTTTTTGATGATTAAAAAAAACAAGGAAATTTTCAAATTTCAGAATCTTTTTCGCAAAAAAATTCCATTAAAAATACAGAGAATATAATCGAGTAATTTCTTTTCTACAAAATCGATAAAAAAAAAACAGTATTAAAAAAAAAGCTCGATAATTACATTCGATATATCTATATATATATCGATATACACCGCGTCTAACACTTTTTCATCGATAATAGCAACGATCATTCGAACGATGATGAAACTCTGGCAAATTTCTGAAAATTTCCTATAAAATAAGTTATAAAATATTGAAACAATCGTTACTATCGTTTAAAGAATAATATTTTTGTTGTTTTTTTTTTTTTACAACGTACCGTGAACGAAACCATCGCATCGGATCGCTTCCACCCTCAAAATCAGAGGCGCTTTCAACAGGATGATATTTTTAACCGCGGCGGGGAGAAAATGGACAAGTGTTGGCCAGTGTGGGAAACGTGTCACAGATTTACCACCGATCGAGCGGATGATCGAAAATTCCTTTTCGATCCGATTCGAAAAGTTTGCAACGCGATTTGTTTTCAACAACAGCGGTGGGGGAGGGGGGTCGCGACGAGCTCGTTGCTTTTCCTTTGTTCACGATGCGAGTTTCGTTTCTAAACAAGGAGTTTGGAGCTCGCCTCGAATTCGATTCAGTTCGGTGTAAATGCGGCCTGTATTGTCTCCGGTTTCGTTACCCACGCGTTTACGACGGTCGACTTGCTAATGGACTCGCCACGGGAATTTCTAGTTCGGTTTCTCGATGATTCCATTCTTCTGGTCTTACGTTACCATCCTCTGGACTGGAACCGGAGCAATTTTTGTTACTTTCTGTTTCTTTGTTTCGATAGTTTTCGTTTGTTCTCGTATGATTTTTTTCTTTTTTCTAATAGATTTTAATTCTTGTAAATTGCATTAGACGGTAAAGATATTTGCTCGTTTTTCTTTCGTATCAATATTATAATTTTTATCGAATACGTATAATTATAAATTGCTTTTTGTTTAACAATTTGTTAACACTCGCAAGAAGATTTTCCATTCGAAAATTTATTAAAAAAGTTTCGTGGTCGATCGATAAAGAGGGATAGAGAAGATAAATAAAATATTTTTTTACCCGCGTAACGCTTGAAAACACACGAATGGAAGATCTAATGGAAACGTCAACGATTTCGGGAGAAATATCTATAATAATTTCTTTCCATTGAAATCGTGTATGCACATGTAATTTGCAAAATAGATTTTTATTGAATATATATAACGTTGTATTATTGCGCAATAATATATTGCGCATCGAGTAAAATCAAAAATTATACGCGATGCAGAATCTACGACAATCCAAGTACAACAAAGGATTCAATATTTAAAACTTGATTTATATATATTTATTTAATTTCACAAACAGAAATGAGCATTCGACAAAAGTTACGTTTACAAATTGGATCGTCTCCCGACAACTTTTCCAACGGGATTATTAACGCGTCGCAGTGAAAATTTTCGATATTTTCCTTCCCTTTCGATTCACGTCCCGCATGATCGAACTTGGCCGGTTCGCGCTAATAGAACAAACGATTTAATTTCGTACGAAAAATAATCCATCGCGAAACACATAGGTGTAAACGTTCGTTTGTCCCGGCGAATATATTTTTGATCCCAAAAAATAAAAAAGGAAAAAAAAAAATCGAGATGCGAAATGTTCGTAAATAACAATTTGCTTTATAATTATCCCTCGTCGATCGAACCTTCTTTTTTTAACGGTTTATTCGAAATGAGTTATCGCGCGTGTAATGTAAAATGCGTACGAATTTCATCGCAGATTTTTGTCCAACAAGTTCGAGGAGAGTTATACGCCAACGATCGAGGACTTCCATCGAAAGCTGTACAGGATTAAAGGCGAGGTCCATCAGCTTGATCTTCTGGACACGAGCGGGAATCATCCGTTTCCGGCCATGCGACGATTATCCTTCTTAACAGGTAAGTCAATCTTTAAGTCTTTCTTAAGTTTAGTCTTTTTTTAAGCCAATCTTTAAGTTTTTAAGTCCGTGAAAACGAAAGGATAAAAAGGAATCTTTTTCTTTTTCTTTTTCATTTTCTTAATAAATGAGCATTCGAATTTTAGATAGAAGAGAAAAGAATTGGATTTAGAATGTTGTAGCTATTTTTAAGAATTAACTTAGCATTTGCGTATTTGATTTAATTGTTTCTCTCGCGTATATTCTACCTTATAACACAATAATGTCGAAATTTAATCGCGATCGATGCATGTAACCAAGTGTCAGAGGACAAAGAGCAAATATTTTCCCAATCCATATTGAACATTTCCAAACACTGTTAACGGCGTCATCGTAACACCTTCCTACATTGTCGTTTTTTAGAAATAGATTAACAGGAAAAGATAATCATTTAACTTTATTACTTATTATTAAGTTTAGTTTTTAAATAGATACATCGGTAATAAGCTTGCGAAAAATTTGACAGGCCGATCTTCAAAAAGAACGAATGATAGATAAGATTTTCAACAATTCGATAAACTTTGAATTTGAATAAAATTTGAACTTCGAAATTGATTGATCGTTTTGCAATTACATTCTTTCCGCACAATTAAAAAATAATTATCACGAATTACTGACAGTTTAATAAAAATATATATTTTTTTTTAAATCTCTAAATTATAATCGTTCAAACTCGAATACATTTGTAATCCTAATCCATTATCAATGAACAATTCAGTCAGTTTCGAACTTTTGGCCAAACGACAACGATACACGAATTATTATGTTATTGCGCCTCTGCCAAGTAACGAGGAAATTTCCGTGTATCGTCTTAATACGTGCAGATACGTATAGATAACAGATCCTCGACTCGAAGCCGCAAGTCATCTCGCCAACTTGTTGAGCATCCTTTCTTCGAGCTTCCTCCGACCTAATTCCGGATGGAAGTTTCGTGCCCAAGTTTCCAACCGCTCCTTCGATCGAGTATATCGGCACTCTTAAATAGCAAGAAGTGGATATATTTCCGTGGAGGATGGTCTCGAGCACGGATCCCTTCGCCAACAAGCGGCTGTCGGTTTTTTGGATCTCCACGTTCGAGGAGAGTTGATGGCCGACGAGCGATACACCGATTCCCTGCCCAATTTTCCGGAACGCGGTGAATCAATATTTGCACAGAAATTCCCGCTCTGCGAGAAATGCGCGAGGATGGTTTTTAGGACACTGTGAGAGTTTTTAGGACAGGGGGTTGAAAATATAATAATTTTTGATCCTTCGTTTTTTTTTTTTTTTTTTTTTAATTAATCGAGTTCGAATCGAAAAAAAAAATCTACAAGAGGCCAATCTCCGACACGATGTGAAATTGAAGCGAATTATTGGACAGAAGAATATTTTATTCCCTTTTTTTTTTTTTTTTTTTTTTAGAGAATCGAAATTGAACTCTCCTCCTGAATTTTTGGAGAATTTTTTGAAGTTTTCAAAACTCTTCGTTCACTCCTTGGAAAAAAGATTGTATACTTTTCCGATTTATTTTCGCGTATGAATTCTCTCGTATCGTAAGATTAATAACAAATGCGGTCAGCCCTCCCCTCTCGTTCTAATTCATTTTTAATTAGCGCGTTATTCTCCCACCCCCCCTTCCCCTGCACGCGTCACTTGCGACCGTAATACGCAAAGCCAAACGACGAGGCTCGTGTTTCGTTTGACGGAACTTGGAGAAAGCCGCGGAATTCATTATCGTTTGGAATAAAAATAGAGGCCATCGTATCCCCGCGATAAATTCGCAATTACGATGAAAAACGCATTTGCATCACGCATGGCACACGTGACGATCGTACGCACGGAGTACGCGTACGCGTATTGATCACATTCGGTTTTGAACCGCACGCAAGCGTCACGTGTTTGCCGTGCATACTCGCATCTACCACGTGAACCGCAAAAAGAAGGAAGAAAAATAGGAAATTATTATTGTCGATGATCTAATTATCACGTCGAAAGTCGCATCGTGCCGATTGATTGTCAACTTTTACTGTAATTTTATAAAATAAGGAAACGTGATAAATTTATTTTCCTGTAATTTACATTATAATTACGAAACGAGTTATTTTTTTTTCTTTTTTTAATAAAAATTTATTGATGCAGGGACAGATTTCGACTCGATTCCATCTCGTGGAATGATTATTAGAAATTTTCATTTTTGAGAGAAATCTAAAGTAAAAATTTTTATAGGAATTTTTGTCGTTCGACTCTCAATTTGCTCAAAGATGACAATTATTAAAAAATTGTACGCACGATAAAATTCAATTGCAAGTATCATTTACAATCGATAGATAGTAGTGTTTGTTCGAATCTATGAAAAGAAGCAGGATCTCAATGATGGCTCGTGGCTCGTTTATACCAGACTGGACTGATAGAATCCCCTTTGTTTGTTTAATGTCGTGTTCGTCGATCGGTTGGACGGTAGTTGGCCGTGGACAACTAATTAAGACGTAACGTGTCCTCCTTCTCTCGTCCCAAGTAAGATTGAGATTTGAATTTCGAACCGTGCCCCCTTCTCCCCCTGGATATCGCGTTAATGCTCCACGATCCATCTTCCACGAGGGAACGGTCGTGGAATTGAAGTTCGAAGACACTAAGGGGCTTAGAAAGTTGCTGGAAACGAATATTTGCCGAGCGATCGTGCCAGCTCCCGTGACGACACGACTTATCGAGCGATAATTATCCTGGACGATGATGCGTGTAACAGGATTCTTTTGTGAGAAGAGAGCGAGACGAAAAATTAGAAGAAATAAAAAGAAGAAGAAATGAAAGAAATAAAACTCACTCAACAAAAATTTTTATTCGGTAAGTTTCCGTAAGTATCAAAAACGCTCGGAATAGAATTTTTTTTCTTTCAAAATTATATTTTTAAATATACTAAATATTGAATATTATCGGAAGAAAAAAGGCAAGTTTAATTTTATATTATAAGAAAGTTATAAAATATTTTCGCGCGCATGTTCGATGTTTTTTCTTTGAAAAGTGGGATTTGAGATATGAGGAAGAAATACTTTCTCAAAAATCAATTCGTGCTTGGTTGAATTTTATCGAAAGATCAAATATATATATATATATAGCTGTTCGAAACGACGTGTTTCTCGTCATCCATAAAATATTATGCTTCTACGTAATTTAATTAACACAATAAGTTCGATGCGTATAATATACGTGTATATCCCTTCTATAAACCAACTCGTAAACCATCGTGAAAATTAAGATGGCGTCAGTACATCGAATTGAACATAAAGAAATAATCGCGTGAAAAACATCATTATCTACTTACATAAATTTTAACGATCATATGTAGCAATTTATAGCTATCTATCAATACTGATATTTCAACTTCATCCTTGAGATCTCGTTTCCCGAGAAAGAAGCGTAGGAATGGAATCAAATAATAAAATTATCTCTCCAATTTTTCTGTCTTTAATAGAATTACGATATCGTCCGATATTGATTAATTATTGAATATTAAACGAAAAAAAGAAAAAAAAGAAATATATAAAATTTGCGCGGGCACGTTCGTAAATTACACGTTAAAAAATATACGATATCACAAATTTTAATTTCATCGAATATTTAGCGTCCATATATATATATAAAAAGAGAGAGATTGGAGTCTCGATCGAATTTCCATACGCTTCGATTTAAAATCTGTTTATCCAAGCGTATCTCTTTCTCTACATACATAGATAAGAAGATATATCCTTTTCGCCTTCTCCCGCGTTCTGTGCAACCAAAATCGCGAGGGAACGGAATTATTACACGGATTTTACTCTCCGTATATATATATTAGAATTCGCAATCGGTAAATACTGGATATTAATATTTCCCTTGTTGTTGTTGTTATTCGTTCGGGTATGATTTGTTTCTAAATATATTTCAAGACCTATCAAACGTTCGTGGAATTACTTATGAAGGTTTATCGAGACGATGGATAACACGATGTTATACGTACACCACCTACGTGACCAGTACTTTACATAACAGGCAATGCTGCGATAAGGTAATATTGGCGAGCATGGTACAAGCATGGTAATAATATTAGAAAGCCAATTCCAACAGAAGGATTTCGCGGATAGAATTGTAATGGAGATCGAAAATTGGGATCTTTTCCAAAGAAATTCCTCGTATAAATTATCTCGTGCGAAAAATGTATCATAAAAAAGAGGACAATATGAGACAATATCGAGACCTGAAAATTCCCGATATACTGGACGGAGAGGATAAAGAAGAAACACATAAAATAGAAAATATATATATATATAAGAAGTTACAAGACGAGGAGAGGAAAAGTGTAGCTGATTTATCGAGTGGAGGAATCGAGAAAAGATATCGCGTTTATGAACTAGCTGAACGAAAATCAACAAACCGGAAAACAGGGTGAGAGGAAGAAGCATGAACGAAAAAATTCCGTCAAGCAAGGCAGTGTCAAAGAAGAAAGATGTATCGAAATAAATAAATAAAACTCGTATACTTGATCGAATAAAATCATATTTATTAAATAAAAATAAAGTAATTGATACGGTTAAAATATTCTCATCGTGGCAATCTACAGGCCATGTAAAATATAAACCAAGTACCAAGTAAATAAATATATATCCAATCTTAAAATCATATTTATTAAAAAAAGAAGAAAAATGAAAAGAAGATGAAGTAAAAGATCAAAAAAAAAAAAAAAACAATTATGGAAATATACAATCGCAAAACCAACAATCGAAATCAAAACTGGAATAAATAAATAAGAGCACCTCTGCGTGCTCTTAAATCTTATTTAAAAAGAAGATGAAAAAGAACAACTTTTTCTCTTTTCCCTTAAACGAAGTACAAGTAAAATTGATACTAGAATATTCGACGAAATGAACGCGCAAACGCTTTTCCCTAGAATCCGGTTCTCCCCTCTGAAAAAATGGAAAAAAATTCGATCCAAACGAGAGCTCCGCGTCT